TTGTAGCAAGTCCTACGAGCTGAAAACGCGAGGGCCGATGCCCTATCCAAGCTGGCAAACACCTCGAGCACAGTCCTCGGCCGCACCATTTGCGTGGAAAAGCTACCTTGGCTGACCATTAAAGAAGCTCAAGTACTTCCAATAGAGGTCGAGCCATCATGGATGGACCCCTTCATCAACTTCCTCCTTACGGAACAGCTGCCCGACGATAGGAACGAGGCTTGACGACTCCGACGTAAGGCAGCCCATTATACCTTGCTTGAAGGAAAATTATATAGAAGATCCTTCACCCTGCCTACCTTCGATGCCTCCGCCCCGAGGAGGGGGAGTACGTGCTCAGAGAAATTCATGAAGGCATCTGTGGTAACCACCTCATTGGCAGGGTCCTCACCCAATAGACGTTGAGACAGAGATATTTCTAGCCAACACTTCCCAAAGATACAACCAAACTTGTGCGAAGATATGATCAATGTCAGAGGCACACCAACATATGTCATCAGCCTACGACGACCCTCTCAGCCCTTAGTAGCCCCTGGCCCTTCGCTAAATGGGGAATTGACCACCTCGTTCATTTCCCGCAAGCAACGGGGGGCGGGAAGTACTTCAACGTCGCTGTAGACTACTTCACAAAATGGGTCGAAGACGATTCCTTAGCCACTATCAAATCTCGGTTAATCCAAAGCTTCTTCTAGAAAAAAAAATATCATTTGTTGCTTTGGACTCCCTCACATTCTAGTCACCGACAACGGGAAGCGGTTCAATGACGCCAAATTTCGAGAATGGTGTGTTTCCCTCAATATCAAACAGCAATACACCTCGGTGGGCTACCCCAACACAAATGGCCTAGCCGAGGTCACCAACAGAACCATCATAGACGAACAGAAGAGGAGGCTAGATCGAGCTAAAGGCCTATGGGCCAACGAATTGAACAATGTACTCTGGGCATACCAAACCACACTTTGGGCGGCCACAGGAAAAACTCCCTTCGGCCTGACTTATGGTACAGAAGCGGTAATCCCAGTAGATATCGGCCAATCGACGCTCCGAGTTGAAGAGTACAATGAAGCAAAGAACAACGAAACCCACAGAGCCAACCTGGATCTGTTGGAAGAAGCCCGGGAGCAGGCGCAAATCAGGGTAACTTCCTTCCAGCAATGCGTGGCCCGCTACTACAACTCGAAAGTAAAGGAAAGACACTTCCGAGAAGGGGACCTCGTCCTCCGAAATGCCAGGGTCCCCGAACTCGGAGTAGGAAAGCTGGGCCCCAATTGGGAAGGCCCCTACAGAGTCAAGCGAGTCATCGGCCCCGGAACATTTCATATATAGAGGCGGCCATAACTGCCTCTAAAAGCATAAAAAATGCCTATAAAAGTTATAGGAGGCAGCTAGGTAACTGCCTTTAAAAGCTCTGTCGCTAAATGTTTTAGAGACACTCGATTGAGAATTATAGGCGGATTATAAATGCGCCTCTAAATTAGACTTTTAAATGTACATACGACTGTCTCTATTGCACTGACGCTAAAATTCCTATATAGAGACAGTTAAAAGTGCTTCTAGAAGTTCAGTTTAGAGGCGCATTTGAACGCCTGTAAAAGATTTTGCGATAATTTTAAGTGCCTCTAAAAGAAATAAGAAATTTTAGAGGCACATAATCACACTCATGCATTATACTATAAAAAGGAAATAAGAAATTAGCATTAGTCTACGGGTGGCAACCAATTTTGGTCTTTCGTCCCTTTAATTCCTTTCCGAGGCTTTCATTTTATATATGTTCTTTGATTTTCTTCTTTCATGTTAACTGAGAAACAGAGTGGGATGGACCATGAATCTTTATGATTTGATTCTCCAAATATTGTCTTAATTATAGT